TTTTTATATTGTACCTGTCCTTTGTTTTATATTGTAATTGTTTTCTACGTGTAAAGCGCTTTAGGGTAATTCCATAATTATATAGGGCGCTATATAAAAGTAGAATAATAATAATAATAATAATTTATTTTTGCTATCTGTTTTCGTCCGTCGTCGTACGTTGTCCGTCGTTCGTAAACTTTTGAACATTTTTTGCTTCTTTTCTGGAACCAATGAACCAATTTCAACCAAATTTAATATACAACATCTATGGGTGAAGGGGGGGGGGTGTGTGTGTGTGCAAAAATCGTAATTTTCATGGTCCCGCCCCCCCCCCCGGAGGGGCCTGAAGGGTGGGGCCAAAACCACTAAAATTATGCAATCTTTAAAAATCTTCTTTACTCCTGGACATCATGCAGTCAAATGTTGGCATGATTTTAATCAGCATTGAGTCCTCTACCAAAATTGTGAAATTCATGGCCCCTGGATCAGGGGCTCTGGTTTTAGAATGGGGCTATATAGATCATATGGTAAAAGTGCATTTTTTTTTTGAAAATCTCCTCCTTTGCTCCTGGGTATTAAACAAACTTATAAAGTACATCGTTATGATGACTGAGAGTGCCTCTTTAACAAATGTGAATTTCATGGCCACTGAATTAGGGGTTCCGATGTTAGGGTGGGACTCTATTGATTATGTAGTGAAAATACATAAATTCTTTGAAAATCATCTTTTCTGCTCCTAGGTATTGAACAAACTTAAAATAAGGACATAGTTATGATGAGTGAAAGAGCATCTTTCAAAATTGTGAATTTGATGGCCACAGGGTCAGGGGTTCTGGTGTTAGGGTGGTGCTCTATTGATTATATATTGAAAATGCATAAATTCTTCAAAAATCTTTCTCTTTGCTCCTGGGTATTAAATAAACTAAGTATTTAGTTATAATAAGCAAGAGTGCCTTCACAAAATTTGTGAATTTCATAGCCTCTGGGTCAGAGGTTATGGTATAAAAAAAGGGGGCTCTTTTGAGTGTATAGTAAAATAATTAATTCTCTAAAGTATTCTTCTTTGCTCCTGGGCATTAAACAAATTAAATAACTATATAGTTATGGTGAGCAAAAGTGCTTCTACCAAATTGTGAATTTTGTGGCCTCTGGGTTGGAGGTTTTGGTGTAAGGGGCGGGGCTCTTTTGATTATATAGTGAAAATGCATAAATTTTTCAAAAAATATTTCTCAGCTCCTGGGTATTCAACCAAAGAACTATGTACATAGTTATGATGAGGAAGGATGCTTCTTCCAAAATTGTCAATTTCTTGGCCCCTGGGTCAGGGGTTCTGGTGTAAGGGTGGGGTTCTAATGAATTTTTCGAAAATCGAAAATCTTTTCTATGGCTCCTGGTTATTATGCCAATGATCTCAGTACATATTTATCCGTATGATTTTCACGACTTCGTGGCATAATTGTATGATTGCTGGATTGAAGACGTCATAATCGTGAGTTTGTGTCTCATAGTGCGTGTTTCTTGTCTATGATTTTATTTTTTCTCTCTGTGTGCATTTTTTTTTACCATGTTTTCTTTTATTATTTTATAATACATGTACATTGTATAAGTAATGTAAGAAATATATAATACAACATTACACCTTGAAAGTATCTCGCAAAAAATCAGTCTTAAACTATTTTAATGACCCAAAGTCATGATAGCTGCTAGCTTGTTTTATTTTTAAAAATTTTCTAACAATCTTGTTTAGTATAAGAGTATTGAACAAGAAAATTATTGTCATAGAACAAACTTACAACTATAAAAATATAACAGTGATCCACAAATGATTACATACATTTAGTTTAATTTTGAATTGAAAAGGTACATGTATCTATATATAGAAACAGGTGATTTTCTTTTAAATACTTGAGTCGGCCGATTCCTCGGTTAGGCAACTATGGCTCTTTGTGAAAGTGCTAGGATGTGTCAATCAAACCCATATGAAAATTTAAACTTTCAATAACATTTAGATGAAATAAGATTTTTAATCTATTTTCGCGTGAAATGCTATTACAACATATATGTCGTGATACTTTCCAGAAAATATTAACTTCTATTAAAATTTGTGTCTATGCACCTTTAACAAAATATTGTCATTTGTTTACCTTTTTAGAAGTGGCCAATAAGAAGCAGATTTCCAGACTGGAACTACTTTTTCCTGATATTACTAAGTAACTGATAAGTCTTGGTGGGGACACTAATCAGTTATTGATTAATACCCCAACCTTGTCTAAATGTATTAATTCTACTAGTGCCTGGACATTACCCTTATTTTACATTTTGTGTTTTAATCAGTAGCACATGGGCCCAAGTTTCTGTCAATGTTTCGAAACACATGAGACTTTATTCCCCATTTGTAGCTATCACAGCACCTATATACTCAAAACCTTGGCTATTGTTTTCCTTTCTAAGCTCGGTTTTTGGCAAAATAACCTCGTATCTGTTTTGCAATTTTATACTTTTTATGGCTTTCCACTGCCAACCTCTAAAATTCTAAACACATGTTATTTGTCTATGTATCCTGAATACGTTTTCCTATAGTATTCAGATATCAGTTCTATTCACGTAGAACTCTGACACGATTTTCTCAGAACTTCCATTATATGAATGCAGCAAATGAAATACCAAATGGTAAAACATTCAACACAAAATATTTTAATACACCATCGTATTCCCACCGAAAACCTTAATGTTTCACATGATCGTTAAAATGTCAATATGATGGTACACGGACTTGGATGATAACTGAATAAATACGTTTTTTTCTTCTTCTCTTCTTTCTTTTACCCGTCCTGTAGAATGCATTGAGTTTATGGGAATTTCAACATGTGCTGTATCTTTGATGTTACCTACACAACCTTTTTGAATAACATTTTGTATTTTGTATTGTCCAAAGCTGTTTTTATTGTTGGAACATCTTGGAACATTCTTAAAATAATTTTTAGCCTTTTCTTGAAATAACTACCATGGTTAATTCTCCCGTTTTGATGAACGAGTCTTAAATCGATAGACTTTAAGGATTTCGTCTATAATTAAAAAAAAAAAATAAACCTTCGTGTTTGATAAAGCTGTCTAAATATTTCGTTTTATTACCACTAATATTTTAGGTGGTTCTTTCTTAGAATAATTATCTTATAAAATGTTTTTTGTAAAAGGTCTCCCATATTATACACCATTTGAATTATCGTCAGAAATGCATTTCTTGACCAATTCTGTTGATGTTTTTCTCAATGATATTTGAATAAATACAACAACATATACTGAAAGGAAAAAGAAACGCATGATAAACTTCTGAGGTGAATTAAATTTATTTTTCTTTTAATTTTTTTTAGTATTCCTATCTAACTTTTATAATCATCTTTCAGAAAGATATAACCAAAATCCCATTTGATTTTGTCTAGTAATTCATGAGTTATTGAAGCTCATATGACGATACCCCCCGAAACTGAAAATCGAAAACTCATTATCTTCAATGTCTCTCCCGCGCATCTGTCAGAGCCTTATTTCTTCTTTGCATGGAATTCATCAAAGTATTTATCTTTCAACTTACTTACTTACTTACTTATCCTCTTCGTCCCCGATGGGACATAAGGCTTCAACAAGCTGCCTCCATCTTCCTCTATCCTTTGCCACATACTGTGCCTGCCCCCACGAGTAGCCCATTTTCTCTAACTCTGATGTTATAGTTCTTCTCCATGTTGTTCGTGGTCTACCTCGCTTCCTCTTTCCATATGATGTCCAATGTAATGTTTTGGGTATCCTGCTCTGGGACATTCTCATCATGTGTCCTAACCATCTCATTCTTCTTTGTTTGATTTCTGTTGTTATACTCCTGCTTTTGCTTTTCTTGTGCAGGTCTCTGTTAGAGATCTTGTTTGGCCAGAAGATACGGTGGATTATCTTTCAAACCCTGGCTATATTGGGCATGGGTAACCAAGCCAAAAAATTAGTGAAACGGCGCGCGCATGCGCCAGTGAGAGGAACACAACAGTAAGTTGACCAGCTCAAAAAAAACAAAATTGCAGAATTGTTTTCTTTCTTTTTTGCGTGAATGTAATGATTACAATAGTCTACTGTATAAATGGCGGTTTTTGTGGTAGTAAGGTGGCAATTTAAGAAATGGCAGGACGAATAAACCGCTTGTTTCATGACTGTTTCGCGTTAACGTCATCGTCACGGTTGATTGAAAAAAAATTCCAGGCTTTCTCTGAAACGGGTAACAAGTTTTATGGGGGAAAATTTACAAGAAACTGCCTAGTTACCCGTTGTTGCCATTTTCATTAAATAGGCAATTCGAAAACCAGACCCCACGGAACTTCTGTAAACTGTACCAAGATTGCAAGAAATTCATATCGTCTCTAAATATTGAAAAACGATGTCTATACCTCAGGATGCATCAAATGGTGCAAAAAGATTTGTTGACAAACTCGACATTATCAAATTACACGTATTTTGGACTTTTTAGCGTTTTCCCTACGTACATGACGTCATACTTTTCATGGTTGAGTATTTCTGAACACTGAATTTGGTGCATAGTAACTAAATTTCTCATCCGACCAATTTTCGTAATTTTCGGTCATGCGGTCAAAATATTTTCGAATATTATGCTACCCTGCGTTTCTTTTTCCTTTCAGTATATTTCATGAAAAAGATCTCACGTAGTTGGAATAAAGTATCTACAAAATTATGTTAAAAATTACTTTAAATCGCATTTTAAGCAAAATTGATTCATGAAATAAGCTAGGTACCCTCGTTTCATCCATAAGACATTGTTACTAAACCTTAATCTAAATCTTTAATTTATCTAAAAAGGTATATTTTCGATACAGATTAAAGAGAAACGATGGTAAATTAAGTACAATTATATTTGTTCATGTATAATTTTTAAGTAAACACACACACACCCTCACCCATCCACCCTCACACATAGCACTTTTTTTAAAAATACAATGACTACTCCCTCGATGTAAATACCCATCGGTGTAAGGTTGGCTTGAATCCATATGGCTTGTACCACGAAAAATAGGTATTTTTGATATATATATAATAATAACTACAATTTATACTTATTTTATGTTAAATAATTACAATGGTTAACAGGTTAATTGTAACATATTGATTTGATTTCGTGTTGTTTGCTTGTAGTAAATTATCTACTTTCGTTTTGAAAAACTCCTAACGTTACAGCAATATTCCTTATAATTTATCCAACATATCTTTATCAAAAGTTGATCTCAATTTATTTATGAAATATTATTTAATTATACATGTCTTGTTTGACTGGAAGCATGTTTGAAAAATCTGGTACAAATTTAGATGCCGAAGGGGGGGGGGTGTCATTTATTACCTTAACCTTGTTTATTCTATTATGAAAAGTTTGAAGATGTGTTTCCAGTTTGTTTGAAAAATTAACTTTCATTGTAAGAGAAAAAAGGATGCTTGATTAAAGCTCTCACTACACGGCCAACCATTAAGAAAGCTTTAAAAAATATTTCCTACTTTCACAATCTTATCGATCCGGTTGATAAACCTTCTAAATCTTTGGCTTATTATATACATACAGTTATTTTAGGACAGTAATTTTAATTCATTTAAAGATCAGACCGAGATAGACAATTTCGAAGTTTACAGCATGGATTCAGAAATCTTAAACATAAGACCAGAGAAAATAACTTAACACCTGAAAATGCCGAGCCGATCGTCAAAGAATTAAAGACAGAGTTGGGAAATCTCCTACAGGTATGGGTGTTGTAACAATTTTTTTTCACAAATCTACAGAAAGATAAATAGCCAAAGATCCAAAAACGGATGAAAAACCTAAACTTGTGTATTTTTAAAATGTTTTAAACTGATTCGTATCAGTGACCCTTTTCAAAAAAATTTACGGCTAAGACTACAGTCTTATACTTTTAGTCTTAGTCGTAAGATTTTTTGTGAAAGGTCTTCAGATTTGTATCATAATAAGCAAAAAGAATAGTAATCTTACATTTAGTTTTTCGACAATATTTGACAGGAGGATGGAAGTAAGGAACGTGGGCAGAGAATTTTTGATTTTGAATTGTTTGATAAAGAAAAACATCAGAGCAAGTTGATTGAAACGATTAACAGGTACACATGAAGCCAAATTGAATGTTATTAATCTAAATACCGTCTAAATTTTGTTTATTACAAATCCATTATAGATAAATTAATTATTATATAGAATTAAACACACATTTACATGTTTGCTTGAATTGGGAAAATTCAAGCAAAGACGAAAACTTCAAGATTTTACTTTTCAGCCTTGAAAGTCAGTTGAATGGAGTTGAAAGTGAACTTGGTCAGATGAAGAACGTTGAAAAAGAAGATAAAAAATACATCGCCACCTTAGATTCGCAACTGAAACAGAAGGATAGAGATATGTCTGATTTAAAGGATAAAATAAAACAGTATGGCAGTATTTCAAGGATAAAAAATATTTTAATTTAAATGCACGATTTATCGACGATTTAGATTTTTTTGCCCTTTTAATTGGATATATGTTTTTACGTGTTTTTTTTTTTGTTTTTTGTTTTTTTTGTAGTCCGTTTCTCTGTTTTTCTTTTTGGTTGCAAAAATTTTACCTTGCACTTAACTCTTGAACTGCTATGGCTTTCATATTTCATAAATGTAGTCCTTTTGACTAAACCTTTCGTTAGGTATAAATATTTTTTACCTTAGCTTTGGTGATTCTACTTCTTTTGAAAAACCTCAACCTTATCTTGGAAATTACCTTTAAACAATTGAATGCTAAGGCTTTCTCTTTTTGTGCGTATATTAATTTCCTTTGACAATACCATTTTTAGGGTACAAAACCTTCGACCTCATGACATAAACCTTAGAGTTTCAACTATTTTGAAATAAAAAATTTCCAATGACTTCAAACATTTGGTCCTAGGGCTTTGATATGAAATATTTCAACTTAAAATAGTTAGTCAGGGCAAAAAACATAGCAAATTTACATGCAAATTAGGATGACGTTAGAAAATATTTTGGTCTCGACCATTAAAATTTTGGAAATAATGTTGATAGTGTTTGTTCAAGAAAAATTAATGAAAAATTAAATGGTTTATAAAATGAGTAAGTTACAGAAACTGCATGAAAAGGGGAAATCTTTACAATTTTACTCTCCAGACGTGAAAGTGATTATAAGAGAATTGAAAAAGAAGATAAGGACTACATCAATTCCTTACTATCGCAACTCAGTCAGAGGGATGAAGCTATTTCTGAATTAAAGGATGAAGAGAAAAGGTATAAAAGATTTTTAAGGGATAAGAACTTTTTAACTTTTAAGAGAACTTCTGTAAAATTCTTATCCCTATGTCTGCAATTAAGAGTATGTTAAAAAATATTCTATAGAATGATAGGCTTAATATTTTTTTAATATAAAGGTCTTGATGTCAGTCTTAAAGTATTCCTTAAAAGTAAAATTATTAATATATAAATATAGCCCTTTGATGAGGTCGATCCATAGATATATCAACGTAACAGAAAAGCATTGCGAGGTCGATATGCTTTTCTGTGAAGTCGATATATCTATGGTTCTACCTCATCAAAGGGCTACATTTGTTATATTATTTTTTACATAGATTGACAAAACACAATTTGAAAATAATGGGAACGAGGCACACGTTTTCGTTCTTTAACTTTAAGAGACTACATATCAAAATAAATTAAGCTGTTTGATGTAATTGTGTTTCCTTTATATTGATGGAGTAAATTAGAGGATTTACTTGTTCAAAATACTACATTTATTTGTATCAATTTTTGACAAACATATTCAATATGTTTTAATATAAAGTATATCCCAATTCATGGCTTTGTTATGTTTCATCAATTACAGAACATTAAAAAATATTAATACAAGTTGAAGTATATATTTTTTTCAGAAACTTCAAGTCATACACTGTATTACCTATAATTGTGAAATCAGTACTGTTTTTGTTTTACAGAAAATAATCTCCATTTTAAGAAACATCAAGTCTATATGCATTTCAGATTCTATAAATAGTAACTCAAGTCTACTAGTACTTAATTATGTGATCAAGTTTGAGCCAATCAGAGAATTTGAAATAAATAATAAAAATAATATTAAATATCGATCAAAATTCGTTTAAAACAGGAGACGAAAAAGCAAAAAAAAAAAAGCAAAAAAAAATCTGTGCACTGTAGATCAAAAAGAACGTAAAATGTTAAACCTTATCGAATGAATGCACAAAAGTCATCTTCTTTAAGAATTATGGTAAAAATACAAATAATGAATATTGGAAGACGCATCCCAAGATCGGTGTATGCAATATTAAGTTGTCATCAAAGATTATGTTATGTGATCTCTAGTTCATAAACCTAGAGTTTGGCCACAAGAGTCAGATGTCTGAGAAAATATCGTACCGATAAAATTTTCGAAAGTACAAATACTGAATGTTATTTTTGCCCATCAGATTTCATGTATTTTTACGAATAAAATGATTTATATTCGCCCATCTAATGATTCTATCTTCTGATATCTAAAAATGCTAGTTATGACCGTCTTCGAATGTATTTGCGCAAGAATTTTTAAGCTTTATTTTATTTGTATTAAAGGCTGGAAGAAAAAATAACACAGTTGGTTGAAATAAACGATTCAGACAGAAAACGCTGTGAAGAATTAAAAGGGGAACTGAATACGCTTGAGAAAGAAATTACAAGGTATAAATACTATCTAAAACAAGTTTCAAAAATTGTAATTTTAACTTTATGCGAAATATTTTAAAAATCTTCAACTAAGTGCATAGTCATGATGATGAGGGTACCTTTACCAAATTTTAGAAATTCATGACCCTGGAACATGGGTTTAAGTGTTAAGGTAGGGCTGTGTTGAACCTGTAATGAAAATGCATAATTTCTTTGAAAATCTTTTCTGATCCCTGGAACAGGTAAACAGAATAAAAGCAAAGTATATTTTTACCACATCAGATTTTTGAACATCAGGACCATTTGGTCAAGTTTTCTAGTTCTGGCCAGGGCTCTTATTAATAACAGCCCTGGCCAGAACTAGAACACTTGACCAATAAGTCCTTTTCATTTATCGTATACCCCCACAAACTTTGGGGAGAAGGGGGCTAGAAATCCCTATATCTGTTTATCAGTCTGTTTGCATGTCTCTCTGAATGTCTTAAGACATATTTTATCAGAATTATATGCCATAGTTGTTTGCAAAATGACACCGGTGTGAAAACTTTAATATTCTTTGGATCATGGAATTTTCATGGTTGTACAGTGAAAAGTGTTATGATCCCACCTCTGATGTTTTGGAGGTCCACGTTTGCTCTGCTCCTATTTTGTATTCATTTTGTTTTATGGACTTTTGTTCTTGAATACTGTTCGTTATTTCCATATCCTTCATTTCTCTAGGTTGCTAAGAATAATACAACTTTCTATCTAGTGTTAAAAAGTCCATAAGATTTAGTTCAAGGGATTCAAAGTATTTTTAAACAGATGACAGAGTTTTAAAAAACAGTTAATGTGAATGAAAACCCTTTATTTTTCCTTACGGGAGCATTAATTTTAACAGAACATTTTAGTCTTGAGCTAATTGACTTAAATTGAAAAGTTAAGAGAAAACAATGTTTAAATAGTATACAAAAAATCTAAATGCAAACATGGTTGTATATGTCTTTATTGTTGCAAACAACTCGAAAAAAATATAATTGTTAAATTAAAAGCATGTTGCTATATAGTTTAGCAGATTACGACAATTAAGACATAGTTCAAGAAAGAGTTTCAAGACAAGCCCCCTTCGCCTGTTATAGTCGGATTGTAGGAGAAGGGTACTGGTTTTATCGTACTTTAAGGGGGGCGACTGGGGTTTTATTGTGTGAAAAAACAATAGCGAAACTCTTCATTTTTATACCATATATAACTTACATTACGTTCAGTGTACATGCCTGTTTTGGGAAAACCTATCGTCCAGGTAATTTTGAGGGACTGTCTCAAAATACAGGTACATTTACAATAGGATTATATAGGAAAATGCCAATTTTTAGCACTTTAAAGCAAATTATAAAAATATTACAATCGACTTTTTGTTTAAACAATAAATATTTAATGAGTAATACTTTATTATACAACATATGTAAGAGACACAAAATTCTACCGTCTTGTTACCAGAGGGGGCGTCTCAAAATGCAAAAAAATAACCAATTTTTCTGTTTTTGTAGAGTACTACAAAATATGACGGGCACAATAGATTCACATGAAAACATAATAAAAATAATGGAGATATTCTCAAATTACTGTTTTTAATTTCAATAGCGTATGTTTATTACTTTTTCTTTAATAAAGTAAATTTTTATTACCCCTTTCTTTAAGAGCTTCAGATTAACATAACGTCAAAAACACACTGCAGCAACGTCAGCCTACATATCAATTTCAAAATCGGTTTTAAAAAATCAGTTATATCAAATTGTTATTACATTTTTAGCTCTTCTGAGCCAAAGGCTCAAAGAGCTAATGCTATGGCCATTTGTGCGGTGTGCGGTGTGCGTCGTGCGGTGTGCGTTAACTTTTTAGAATATGGGCCATAACTCAAGAACCCCTTGGCCAATCAGTGTCAAATTTGTCACAGGGTATCCTTGGCCCAAGGGCTACCATTTATACTAAAATAAGGGTTGGAACCCTAAAACAAGGGGAGATAATCAGGAAAACAAAACCAAAAGTACTGGTTGCTAAAAAATCTTCTTCTCCAGAACCACCAGGCAGATTTTCACCAAACTTACATACAAGGATCAGGATATGTTGAAGATTAAAAATTGTTCAAGGCATGACCCTGGGGCAAAGGGCGTGGTCTCAAGGTCACTTTAAAGTTGACCTAAATTTACAATTAATAAAAATGTTTATATTTTGCTTACTATAAGGACTAGGATCATCAAATCTTGTAAGTTGATGCATCTTAGGACTTCACATCATGTTAACTCAAAAGTAGGTCACGGTGACCTACTTTTTTAATTTTGCGGGTATTTGTTTTCAAATTGATTTGAAGGCATATTTTGGACACTTTAAGGCCTATGATCATCAAACTTAGTCCGTTGATGCATCTTGGGTCTTTGAACAACGTCGACTTAAAAGTAGGTCACCATGACCTACTTTTTGAACTTTATGACTTATCCTTTTTAAAACATTTAATCTCATTATTTCAGGCACTGAAAGGGTTAGAATCATCAAATCTTGTAAGTTGCTGCATCTTGGGACCTAAAAACATATTTAAGAAAAAGTAGGTCACTGTGACCTACTTTTAGAATTTTGCAGGCATTTGTTTTCAAATTGTTTTAAAGGCATATTTTGATTACCTTCAAACCTACGATCATCAAACTTGGTCAGGCGATGCATCTTGGGAGTCTGAAAAATGTCAACCAAAATATAGGTCAGGGTGACCTACTTTTGACATTTTATGGCTATATTTAAGTATCTTAGGTATTTATTGGCTTAGAATCATCAAACTTTGTGAGTTGATGCATCTTGGGATTTCGGAGAGTGATGACCAAAAATTAGGTCACAGTGACCTACTTTCGACATTTTATGGCTATATTTAAGTATCTCCGGTACTTATTGGCTTAGTATCATCAAACTTTGTCAGTTGATGCATCTTGGGTTTTCGGAGAATTTCGACCAAAAAGTAGGTCACGGTGACCTACTTTTGACATTTTATGGCTATATTTATGTATCTCTAGTACTAATTGGTTTAAAATCATCATACTTTGTCAGTTGATGCATCTTGGGTTTTCGGAGAAGTTCGACCAAAAAAGTAGGTCATGGTGACCTACTTTTGAATATCTCAGGTATTTATTGGTTTAGAATTATCAAACTTTGTCAGCAGATGCATCGTGGGACTCTAAAAAATATCAGCCAAAATGTAGGTCACGATGACCTACTTATGACATTTTATGGCTATATTTAAGTATTCTCCGATACTTATTGGCTTAGAATCATCAAACTTTGTCAGTTGATGCATCTTGGGTTTTCGGAGAATTTCGACCAAAAAATAGGTCACAGTGACCTACTTTCGACATTTTATGGCTATATTTAAGTATCTCTAGTACTTAAGTACTTAGAATCATCATACTTTATCAGTTGATGCATCTTGGGTTTTCGGAGAATGTTGACCAAAGAGTAGGTCACAGTGACCTACTTTTGAATATCTCAGGTATTTATTGGCTTAGAATTATCAAACTTAGTCAGCAGATGCATCTTGTCGACTAAAATGTAGGTCAGGATGACCTACTTTCGACATTTTATGGCTATATTTAATTATCTTAGGTATTTATTGGCTTAGAATAATAAAACTATGTCAGTTGATGCATTTTGTGTTTTCCAAGAATGTAGACCAAAAAGTAGTCCTAACTGGCTAAGAATCATCAAACTTTGTCAGGTGATGCAACCTGGATCTTAGGATACTTAGGGTTAGAGGCTTCAAATACAAGTGATAGGTTGTACAATTTATCAGAAGAGCGATTCAAGGCCCTTGGGCCTCTTGTTATACCTATAATTTCTTAATTTTGATTAATTTTAATAATTAAGTGAAAAAGGTTGCATTTACACAGTAAATACACTTCATTTCACTATGATGCGCGAAATATTGCGCAATGGAAACTAAAGTCAGCCCCCTGAAAAAAAAAGATTAATCAGAGATGGTTATAAGCAGTTATATGATCGCTAAAAAATTCAGACAATCCAATTTTCCTAGATTTGTTTCTAAAGCAAATTGCTAAATTTTAGCATATTTTAGCATTAATAAACTAAATTTTCAACCCCTCTCATCAAAGAACATGTGAATATAAGAACTTTGTGATTTTTGAAAAAGAAATAAAATGTTATTGTCCAGGCTCGTAAAGATGAGTAAACCAAAGAAAGTCATTGCATTTGGTTTTGAAAAAAAAATCATAGGAATAAAACCTAGCGAACAAAATTATATCATTTATTAAAATGATGATATTGACTGATTTAAAAGACATCACTAATAAAAAAAAAAAAAAGCCTTACTGTTGTATTCTCCGGAGACGCAATGATCTCGCTTTCCAAAAATAAAAAGAGACTGTCAATCAAGAGATAAGGATAATAGAAATTAGAAAATGTTTGAAATGATACTCAAATCGGAAATATACTTTTAAATATATCTTTTAAATATATTTCAGAAAAGACGAAACCATTGATGATTTACAAAAAGGAAATAGGGGACTGATAGCGAAAAGAGAAGAGTGCGTTTTAAATGCTACAAATTCCTTTAAATAAAAATTCAAATATTTTTTACTCATTTTATGTATTTACGCCTTGGTTGATCTCTAACTATCTTTATTATTTTGTAGATTTTCTTTCTTTTTAATATATGTTTTAATGAAACTTGCAAATAAAGGAAAATTAGAATAAATATAAATATTCAAATATTAACGTTTATTACATTTGATTGAAAACTTTTCCTAAATGCTGGTATTGTTTGTACTGTAAAGACAGAGTTTATACAAGTAACTACAACTAGCATCGAGACATCGTTATTTACGAATGATATTAATCTTCAGGTTGTCTGCAGAAATAGAAACCATGAAATCCATTGAAAAGAGACTGGAAAAAGAAAAGAAAGAACTACAGCATCATGTAAAGTATGTAGTAATAGGGCGATATTTTTATATTAAGTCTTTAAGGATGTCTGATAGAAGATAAAAAGTCAAGCAAATATTACTATTATAAAGCTTTGTTCCTAAATATATTCAGACGTTATTTTATTGTTAGAAAATTTGTCAAATATTTGTGCATCTGTATTCTGAACGAAAATATGAAATGTTTGTTGTTTTGTCTTCCTTTTTGTATCATATTTATTCAATAACGGATTTAATTCTAACAACAACAAAAATCAGTAGCTAATTTTATTTTTTAAAGAAAAATGACAGATGAAAACAAGAGACAGGAAGAGGAATTTGCAAGAGCTTATGAAAACCTAAATCATCAGATCACCCATTTAAGTAGAAGTCTTGAGGAACAGAGGAGAACCATCGACAAACTGCAGAAAAATTTGTCAGAAGAGAAAAAAGCAAAGGAAAATGCCTTGAATAGGTAATATTTACATTCAGTGTAATTTTCCATATGAAATCCATTAGAAATCCACGACGTTCAAATTTCTATATTTACATTTGCCAATGTCTTTCCTTATATGACAATACAAAAAAAAAATGAAATTCAATTTTCGATGACATGCAGTCGGTCACATGATCTGACTTTCTTGCGTATGGAAAGCAAACTGCACGAGACAAAAACTAAAAATTTTCTATCTCTGGGTCTTCTCTCCATGATTTTGAAACGTTATTTGTGTGTCTTCTCTCCATGATTTTGAAACGTTATTTGTGTGTATTTTAATTCAGAGAAATGAATACACTTTTTCAAAAAATGGAGAGAAGACCCAGAGACCACGAAAAATGAACTTTTCCCCAAAAAATCCAAATGTGCGAATGTGGTGCTTCTTTGTCCTTTTAAAATCATTTATGTATGTGTAGCGGTGATAGCTCAGTAAGTTGGGATACCTGTTCACTGCACTGGAATAGAAAAGTTTTTGTTCGAGCCTGGCATGGGGCGTTAATTTTTTTTCATGCAAACAACCATTTATTTTGTCAGTTTCGTTTTATGTACTGATGTATTAAAACTTTGAATTAGATAAATTTTGGTTCAGCTTGGTTCTCGAGCGAAATCAATTTTAATCTTCTATTAATGTACATGTACACGTATTATGCATCTATATACATTAATTAAATATTTTAGGTGTTTATTTTTTGTGACACATTACTATGTTATAGTACCCCTTAGGAAAAACGGACAAAAATGTTACAATCTCACACTTTCAAACTAAATAATATTAAAAAAACCTATGGACGTGTTTGTAAAATCTGACCAGCTATGTTCAGTCAACCAAAATCATGGACATTTCAACCATAAATGTTTCGTACAAATGATTCCTGCAGATCACTCGCCAAATGTGCCCATCTTCTTTGTCATTTTTTTTCCTCGCAATGTTTGTGTGCGTTATTAATGCATTGAATTCATATTTTTGGCTGTCTTCGGTCCTATAACACACCTGGCCGTGCAGACATATTGAATACCGCGCGTTAGCGAGGTATGATAATTTGTCGGTATGGCCAGGTGTGTTATAGGACCGAAGACATCCCAAAATATAAATTCAATGCTTATATTTACATTCTCTAACTTTCCTTCTTCATTTATATTGCTTATTTCGTTAATTTTTAATGTGAATTTAGCGCCTTTCAAAACTGACGTGGTTAATAGACGTAAGAGCCGTATGTGACGTCAGATGACGTTTCAAAGTTAAATAACGCAAACAAACATTGCGAGGAAAAAAAGTGAGAAATTAATTTTAAACGCACATTTGTAATATTTTTACGTTAATTTAACGAGATTATAGTTTTTAATTAATTTGAGTCAAAGTATTGTACATTTTGGTGTTCCTAGGTTATAGAAAATGTATATAGTTCATACTGTGTATTCTAACGCGCAGTGACAAGGTTTCGCGTGTGTTATAGAAATTTGAATGTCGTGGATTTCTAATGAATTTCATAAGGAAAAATACACGGAATGTAAATATTTAACTTTGTAACGTCATTTAACGTCATTTGACGTTAAAAACGGCTCTTACATTTATTAACCACGACAGTTTTGAAGGGCGCTAAGATCACATTTAAACTGAACGAAATAAGCAATTATGAAGAAGGAAAATTAGAGAATGTAAATATAAGCATTGAATTAATATTTTTGGATGTCTTCGGTCCTATTACACACCTGGCCGTGCCAACAAATTATCATACCGCGCTAACGCGCTGTATTCAATTTATCGGCACGGCCAGGTGTGTTATAGGACCGAAGACAACCAAAGATATGAATTCAATGCTTAATTTAAAAATTAATATACTGTGTGTGTAAGAGAGAGAGAGGGGGAGCTTTTCTCTTTTTCAAATTATTTTGCGATTCTGAATGTGATTTTTCTAATATTTACCACATTATTGAATTTTCCAAAAGATATCTTGCCTTTCCTGTTTCTTGAATTGTTTATGTCATGTACAAATCCATGATTATATAGGATTTTACTTCAGACTTAGTGCCGCAGCAGCCAATAGACTAAGAGACCAGAATCCTGGAATAACAGACCTTAGTGATCCGAACCGTCCCCTGAAATTGGCTGAGAAGGTGTCAGAGCTGTATGACAACGAATGGACAAACGCTATGGAAAATTTAGAGTCTGAGCTGGATATTGAAGAGGAAAAGGGGATTAAAATTTTATTAAAAATTATTAGAGTGAGTACATTTTCAAATTCTAGGATCAAAATGATGATCTCTATGTATTTTTCTGTTAAAACTTCGTTTAATTTTTACAGGAGGTTTTTGACGCGTGCACTGAGTTTGGAGACAGTCACCTTCAGTCATTCCCTGATATGCTGATTTTACCTGCATATTTTGTACACAAAGAGAAAGACAGGATGGTAACGTCTTATTAAGAATGGCATCAATTAAATACATTTGAGAAAAAGACCTGGTTCCACAATTGTTATTATGTTTTTCTTAGTTTCTACTAGTAGTATGTATTTCAATCTTTCCAATATGTTGGTTCAATATTTTTTCTTTCCAATATTTTAGGTCAATGTCAAGGACCTACCTTCTGAAATGCTTAAACCAATGAAAGATTTTCGAAAATCGCACGCAAAACATGCAATAAACCATTTGCAAAAGGTATGTGAAGAGCAAAGAGCATTCTTTAAACTATATATTGCATAATAATTATGATACTGTTGAAAATACTAAATACTGATTAAATTGAAAAAATTGAAATGCCAATAGGACAAAGATTTTAGGTGTTAATCTTACCTGAACAGTAACGGATTTACCAGAAATAAACCATCATTTGCAATAAAGTTATGATTATGTATTTTGTACTTTAGGTATGAATGGCTTATGTGCTATTACATGAATACATTTTATAAAATGAGGTGTAATTCAGGAATTGAGACTAATTTTTTTTCCCTTGATAAAATACCGGTAATTTCTTATTGTCACCTTTTCCTTTTACATTTTAGAGTAAGTATTTTTAGTGTCACAGAATCTTGAAAATGATATGCAAAGAAATATGTCTGTTTCGTGCTTACACCAAAATTTCCAGGTGTTGTTTTTGATTTGAAAAGTAAAACGTTATATATAACTATGTTTGGCTTTGAAAACTCATTTTCTTCTTTAAAGTTCTTTGCCACTGATGAGGGAAAGTCAAAACTGCAGATAAAGAAAAAAGTATTCAAAACCTGTGAAGAATACATTAATAAGTGCATAGAACTATGCTGGATGATGCGAATTCAAGATCCACCAATTTATATGGAAACAGAATACCCGACAAATTCAGATTTTGACTCAAACAAAATGCGATCGTACACAAAAGCAGGAAAATTCATACATTTTGTTGTATGGCCTACCTTCTTCCTGCATAAGGATGGTCCACTATTGGCAAAAGGGGTAGTGCAAGGGAGCAAAATAGAAATAAAAGATGGAAAAGAAATCAGTAGCGATGAAGAATGCAGTTCATCAAACGCTGACTCTGACGTTGAAGAATTTACTGATGCCCGCTCACGAACCGATTCACAGCCGGGAGATAATCTTAAGAAAACCACCTCTCAGGATGAAGTCAGAGATATACCAGAACCAAATCAGCTAGGAAATAAAGAAATCTCGCAGGAAGGAGATCACGGAGATGGAGCATCAGACGATGGTACGAATGACACAACAGGGGGGACATATGGCACCATCGACATTCCGGAGGAGCAAAATAACACCGACGACAAACCAGGGGAACGAAACAACATCGACAACAAACCTAAAGAAACAAATAATACTGACGACAAACCAGAAGCAAATAACGATACGCATATTAACCAATCAAAACCGCCAGGAAGTGAAGCAAATGATGAAAAGAAAGCAGCTAATTCAGACGACACGAATGGAAAAGACGGAGGTGAAAGGGCTGCTGAGCAGAAAGACGATGACGAAACACAGTCATAGAATGGAGTCAGATGTATCAGTGACTTACTACGCCGAAATTATACCTTGTATCTTTGTACCTTATACTTAAAGCAAATATTTTATTTACCAAAGCATAGCTTGTATCTTCTTGATTTAATTTCGTTGTGAATACTAATTAACTGTTAATTAGAAATTATTTGAGAAGTGATTCCGAGACTGGTAACCAAAAAATTATTTTATTCAATTAATTGACAATCAACACGTTCTACTTAATTGAATATTAGGTATTTACCTTTGAGATTTGACTCCCCAGTGATTCAGAATTACAAGTATACATGTATTTCTTTGTGAATTTAGCATGCCATTCCTTTTCTGTTGATGGTTGTTTTAACTGTATATTGACTTCATTATTTTGCTTTTACGATATATGTGAAAATTCCAATGCTAAGGTTGTAGTATCTTGAATATTTGAATACAATTTTATAATCATATCATTATTATAAAAATAACTCTTTGTATTTTAGAGAATAAAGAGTATAATACTTTTGAAATAAAGAGCATTTGTATAGAATTATTCTATTTTTGAAAAATTGGATACTGAAAAAGCTTAAAAGATCTTTCAGCAAATTTGATATCGCAAAAAAAAGAATTACTATAGATTAAGCCAATTGAGAACAGACGACCTCTCAAAACAAATTTTTTGAAGGCCAACTGAAATTTTGGTAGCTTCTTCCTCAATAACAATAATTCAATCTGAATTTACAAATCTTTTCTTTTAGAAATTATATTGTTTAAATACATTTAGTCTCAGACACTGCATACAATAAATAGATAAATAAATTTCTTACGGGGTCTCGGTTTTAAGGTCTCACCTAAAGGACCGGCAGCCTTCACTTCAAAAAGACGAGTGTCTGGGGAAGGAACAGTTGCTACCTATTTATTTATCGACTTAAGTTGATCTTCGCCGAGATTCGAACTCAGTGCCTTCCGATCACGGAACAAGCGTTCTACCCTAAGCCCCCGATCCTACCTCTGTTATTTCTAGAAGCCCTGTTTATATAAGGTGTTCACAGATTTGTATTGTTTGTTGCTGTGTCTGGGATCAATCACTGTGTTCTCTTCTTTTTATATATTTGAACGAGCATATTTATTCGGTTATCACCACCACCTTTCACATTAACTGACAACTGAGAAACATGTGGGGTAAATACGGAGCCAAGTAATAATTTAATACATGTATAAGAATATTCGCTATATATACGATTGTGAAAAGGGAAATTAAAATGACAGGGAATTTTAAAACATTTAAACCTTATCCGAGATTCCTCTGACTCTAACCCCTGCTTCTATATTGTGACTCCCCTGCACAAGTCACAATGTAAAAGCAAGGGTTAGAGTCAGAGGGATCTCGGATTAGATCCTGTTCGTAAAAACACGTTTTAACTAGATGCTGGCATTAGACAGTTATACACGCACTAAGGTGTTTGCCTCTAAATACACACTCATTCATATTGGGTTCTCGAGGAAAAAGTTTAAATAATTTGAAAATTTACACATGTATTCGTCAAATTGAGCATAAAATTCTCAGGTATAAGTATACATAACATTGCCCTCACGGGCTTCCATAAAATAAAAAATGCGTGTATAAACAGTAAACAAAACTGCTCATCTCAATCAAACAAAGGCGCAGTAATATTTTTAATTGAACCAAGTTTTCATGAGGAATTAAAATATTATTTTTTACGATAGAGAACAATCAAAGTTCGCGGGCATTATTTTCTCCTGTTCCGTCCGGGTAATCAAGTTCAAACCGAAAGTAGGTATACAACTTAAAAAATACACACCGATTTTACCGCCTTGTAATGCCGAAGAGGAAATCTAATGAGGAGTGGGGAGATTCAGACAGGCCTAGGAAGAGGTTATCAAAAGGGTACGTAAATCAGCCATTGTTCTCATAATCTCTTTTCTAGAGAATAAGCAAATCATATAATGACATTCACGAAACAACTACTGTACGTTGTATTCTCCGATCTGATCAATAACACACTAAGTGACGGCTATAAATTGCATGTATAGACTTTGGCAATTATGTTCTAATGAATAAAGGACTTTTATGTAACATTGCACTATGAGCTAGTAACGTGCTAAACATTTTAGCTCACCTTGAGCAACGAAGTTGAGGGGAGCTTATATGATACCCTCAACGTCCATGTCCAAGGTTAAGGTTTTTGAAGTTCATGAGAAGCCAATTATTCACAAAAATCTTTATATCAGGTGACTGTTTTGGCCAAAACATATACCTGGGTCCGCTGTTATAAAACATGCTTAAGTCTGAGAATTATGGGACGCCGTTTTGGTATTTACTGCCAAAAAGTGATATCACCTATTCAATTGGTGATATCACCTATTCGAATAGGTGATATCACCTATTCGAAAAACTGGTATCACCTATTCAGATTTTGAATAGGTGATATCACCTAGTCGAATAGGTGATATCACCTATTCGAATAAGTGATATCACCTATTCGAATAGGTGATATCACCTATTTGATTTGAATAGGTGATATCACTTATTCGTAAAGGTGATATCACTTATTCGAATAGGTGATATAACCTATTCGAATAGGTGATATCACCTATTCAAAATCTGAATAGGTGATATCACCTATTCGAATAGGTGATTTCACCAATTGAATAGGTGATATCACCTATTCGAATAGGTGATATCACCTATTCAAATTATTTATGAAATAACAACAGCTCCCTGGGTGGCTAAACCTTAATTACTTTCACTTTCGTTTTATAACTCATCATTCTAAGAGACTTTGCATTTAATTTTAATCAACCCTTATAGAAATTGTAGTTTGTTTTGCTCACAAATTAATTTATTTCACTTATCTATCAAGTAAACTTTAAGAAAAATTGGAAAAACACGGAAAAACGCATGAAAACTGGGTAGTCCGAATATTCTCTTGGTTCAAGTGGTAATCTTTAAATTATAGGGAGCATTCATTATTTAATTTTGTAAGAAATTCAAATAGGTGATATCACCTATTCGAATAAGTGATATCACCAATTCAAATTGAATAGGTGATATCACCTATTCGAATAGGTGATATCACTTATTCGAATAGGTGATATCACCTATTCAGCACGAATAGGTGATATCACCTATTCGAATAGGTGATATCACCTATTCATTTCCAATAGGTGATATCACCTATTCGAAAAGGTGATATCACCTATACGAATAAGTGATATCATCTTTTCGAATAGGTGATATCACCTATTGAAAATGAATAGGTTATATCACCTATTCGAATAGGTGATATCACTTTTTGGCAGTAAATACCAAAGCGGCGCCCCATAGAGAATGCTCTCAAGTCTGAGAATTTTCTCAAATCCAAAATTCTCAGACTCAGCGGCCGTCATAAAAAAAGTTGAGAAAAATAAAATACTAGTACCTTAAACTATTTTATTTTCAAATTCTCAGCTGAGTAATTCTCGAGAGTTGAGTTTAGATTTTTTTTTTTGAGAATTCTCAAAGTTTTATGACAGCGGACCCTGGTCGGAATTGAGTTTGTTTTTAAAGACATGCTTGTAGGCCTACGCACTAGTCGGACATGGTGAATAAATGCATCTTGTCAAACGAAAACATAATTTATCAGGAAATGATTTGCTACAACCACCACATTTGTTCTTTAAAAAGGATACCAACATGTTTGTATCAATGTCTCAATTAATCAAATCACCACAGTCAGTGTGCCGACTCCATCCCGGGTGATGCAACACCATATCAAGACAGGTTTATATGTATATAGGCGACGCGCATGCTCGGGATGATATAATCTAGTATTTTCCTCCAATTTTTCGCTTAACACTGTACACTCGGTTGTTGTTTAGAGCAACTTTCCATACATCATAAAAGATACTTAAAAAAAAATTCAGTCCGCAGTCGTTTTCCTCTCGCCGAAGCCAAACGATTCCTTCTGTTCACTTGTTGATGGTATAGTTTATATTTTTTTGACAAACAGCGGTGTTGGTGAATTGCATTGAGACACAGGAAAATTCCTACCTCTGTTAAAATGTTCTGTTGTTACAAGACGCAGAGATTGGTATCCACCTCGGATGTTCATTTTAACTGGGATGCCCCAATCTTAAAGCATTTCTGTACTTCGGACCCCATCTTCGCTAGCCAAGGGTTTCTGATACGCTACTCTCCTTATAATCCCTTGGCATATGGTGAAGTCAAAAGACGGGATTATTTTCGTCAGGTGATGTTGAATCTATCAGGAACGCACAGATTGCGTCATCGACAGATATAAAGACGCATGTTTAAAAAAAATTAAATTAAAGTTTTTTTCAAGAATAATTTAGAATCAATAATTGAGTTATGTTTATTTATTGCTTAAAGTAAAAATCGGAAGCTTCAATATAGATTCTTACTCACATAGATATTGGTAGTCTCGTTTACCCCAGACTCTCGCTCTCGAGACTCGCTCGGGCAAAGTCTCGAGAGCGAGAGTCTGGGGTAAACGAGACTAAGATATTGGATGACACCATAGGTATTCATAGAATTGCATGTTATCTTACGGATCGTTGTTTACTTACGTTTTTCAATTCCGAGATTAAAGAGTCAAGAAGTATCCCGAACGCAAACATCGTCATTTAAAAAAAAACAATTGATGATTAGTCGACAGGTGTGTACTGAAATCCAATCAGAACTCTGGAAAAAAATCCGTAGGCCAAGGGTTTATGAGGAGAGTAGCGTATCAGAAACCCTTGGCTAGCGAAGATGTTCGGACCCCTCATTTCACACCATTTGCAAAGGCTTACACAGTTTGCAGTCTGTTTTTGATAATTTTCTATCTGACTTTAGCTGCCTATGTCGGGCGATAATTTGTTTCGTGGTGGGTAGTACCTTTTTAGACTTTTCTAAAGCTTCACTCAGTCGCTTTTATCAGACGACCATATATAATAACAAGCACCCACACATGACGTTTAAATATGACGCCACAGACACCATGCTTACGTATGACATGTAAAGGAGATTCTCCTCATCTACATATAGATTCTATCTTTGTAATATGTTGGCTTCATGATAAAGCATTCAGTGATTTCAAATGCTAAAGAAAAGTTACACCACAATTCTCCTCAGATTAGATATGATAACAGTTAAATAATAAAGTTTTTTTTATTTTTATTTTGTATCAATTGTTGAATGCATTACGAAAGTATCGCTTGCGAATGATGCCACTGTGCTGCTGGCATTGTGAATTTGTCTACATAAACCGTCTCTTATCGTGTAAATAATGTGTAATGCTATAAAAAAAAAAATAAGGAAAATAAATCTTACCTTAGTATTTGGTCATATAACCTTTTGATCTGATCATTTTTGCCTCCGAGAAGGTAAGGATATGTAGAGGCTCCGTATGTAAGCTACAGGCTCCAAGTCAGTAATTTTGTTTATGTTTGAAAACCTGCGTTTCGGTTTAGTTTATACTTTATTTTCAATAATGTTTGCATCAGATGACTGTGCTGGCCAAAACATACCTGGAATTGAATT